AAATCCCTTTGCTGCTTTCTTGAGGCGTGTAGCAGGTTCTCGTGTTAGAGAACCGCATTGGGACTGCGGATGAGCTGCCTACCACAGTATTAGATATTCAAAAGCCGAAGCGACTGCCCTCTTACAGTTTATCTCTCTCCAAGTGGTGGCAATCCTAATGGGAGGATGGAACCTTAATATTTTTCAAGTATATGGGACTTCTGTAGAGTAATTTTTGAATTTTATTGCCAAGTGTATGGTATGTGTCTGTTTAAAACAAATTGGGGGTTCCATCTTGCTGATAGTAAAAGCTGAGGAAGCGTGGCAGTGTGGCTAGATGCTGTACTAAACAAGGAATTTGGGTGCCATCTTGACTGCTGATGGATGCATTTCTGCAGCATGACTCCTGCCAGTGGTAAAATTTTCACTTTCTAAACAGATGACTTCTTAGTAAGGATGAGTTGGGATAACTTGCTGATTTATTAAACCTGCTGTATCATGGCTGTGGCCTAGAAAACTTGTTTAAAATGCGTTAACAGAATACCCGTTACCTGCCCCGTTCTTGGTCCTCTTTGCCAAAGGAACCAGAATGCAGGTTTTTTAATGTTTGGTCAAGTAAGCACAAGATCTACGTGCTGTTTGTTAAATCTGGTTCTTGTGTTTTGCAGATTCTCTTGATCTGAAGATGGCTGCACAGTCAGCACCGAAGGTTGTGCTAAAGAGCACCACCAAGATGTCTCTGAACGAGCGGTGAGGAAGCCAACAGCAGCTTCAGCTCATAAGAAATTTTTTTACTTAATTATCGCTGTCCGGTGTCCAAAAACCAACGTGGTTTCTGCCCTCTTTTAACCTCACTAAAACAAGCAGATGGCTATGCACCTCTGTCTTAAACTGCAACAAATGTGCTACGCAAGGTTAAAAGGGCAAGTGTTCTGGAGAAATTTATCCATAGCAGTTAATATTAAACTATTCAACACATAAATATGGTGGGATGTGTTATAACAAAAGAGAGAAACCTCGCACCCTCCCTTTTTCTTCCACATGTTTTTACATTTATATAGTTGACACTGCAGCACGGTAGCATGTTACCTAAGCTGCAGCGGGCTTGCTGCTTTGTCCGAGGCAGACACACGTGCATGTGGTCTGGCCTGTAAGAGGCATGCAGCGGGCCATTAAATAAGCCCAAAGGCCCTTTAACAGTGTTTTGGGCCTTGTAAGAGGCAAATGCTTTGCTTCATCTCCATCTCTCTCTTTTCTTGATGTCTTTATTTCTTCTGTTGAGTGTTCTTCTGTTTTTCCATGCCATTGAGCTTTTGCGGTTCTACAGTGACAACTAACAGCAGTGCTGCAGTTACGTTTCACTTTCTTACTAATCGCTCTTGGATTATTTACATTAGTATCATTGAGCCAGGGATAAATGGAGCCATTTGTGTGCAGTTCCTGCTCGAGCAAGTGCTGCAGTGTAGATGTAGCCTGAGCCGGTGCTTGGAGCTTACCCCAGGAAAGACGAGTGGTGAGGTGCGGTGCAGGAAAGGCTTGCTGGCCTGTTTCGTTTTGGTCAGTCCATATTCCTCGTTTGTAAGTGTTTTCTTTTGCAGTCTTGTGTAGTTCCCAGGGCACAGTAGAGAGCTGATGGATTGCTGCTAAGGAGGCTTACCATCTTGCTGTATATTCTGCTCCTATAGAGCTCTTAAAGACGGAAGATTCTTTGTGCACCGACGAAATGGCCAAGTGAACTGTTTTTACAAGTGAGCACACTTGGGTGGTGGCATTTCTTACGGCACCAGTTCCGTGGTGCACCGGAGGCACACCCGTCTGTTCTCGAGGCAATGCCTTTTGCAAAGCTGCCTTTTGGCATTGCGTTTTTAACCCGTTTTCTCAGATCTTTGAGGGTTGATTCAGCTTTTGCGGTCAGATTTCAGTTTGCTTTTCTGTTTCTGTGATGTCCTCTCCCATCTGTCATGATCATCTCTGCTTATTGCTTGTTTTCATTCCTTCTGCCATTTCTAAAATCAGTAACCTAAAGCTCTATCACTTCTGAATTAATATACAACATCATTTCTGAATTTCCAGTTCTTGCACACTTGTGGAAAACAAGGAATACGTAATCACATATGACGTGACCTAAGTACCACTCTTTACATAAGGTTCATGGGATCTGGAGATCCAATCTTGAGAACCATGAAATGCCAATAAATGTATGTAATAAAGCTTTCTTTAAACACCCATTTTATTCGACCTTGAAGCTTTACTAACATGCTGAAGAACAAACAGCCGATGCCAGTGAATATTCGGGCTACCATGCAGCAGCAGCAGCAGCTAGCCAGTGCCAGAAACAGAAGACTGGCCCAGCAGATGGAGAATAGACCTTCTGTGCAGGCTGCTTTGAAGCTTAAACAGGTGAGACAAAGAGACGTATTCTGGGGCAGTCCGTTGATGCCTGGCACCAGCAAATGGCTTTTCAGGATATGGTGGATTTTGAGAAATGCTCGGGAAAGTTAAAAACGAGAGACCTAGAAGGGACTGGCTGAAAATCCCACTTTTGCCTTCAGATAAGTAATGCTTTGTAACTTACTGGTTAATATGATTGAGTTGGGGTTTTTTTTTGTGCTGGCTGTTCATATCTCCTCTCTATTTTTTCAGAGAAAGGTTGTCATTCTGGGTTTCTGGATCTGCCGAGTGCTTCATCTCGCAATCTAGCTGCAGTTACAATTGCTGCAGATTGTTTCCTGTACTTACTATCCAGTTGAGGCTGGTTGCTCCCATCCCCAACTCCACCCTCTCTTGGTGCACTCCCTTGATAGCAGCTGGCTGCGAGGAACAGACGAACAAACCGATTTTTTGATTGCTTGCGGATACTAGAATGCAGGCCTGGATTTAAGGCATAGCGTGGCTTTCTTATTGTATAAAGAGTCTTTATTGTTCCACATTTCAGTGATGAGTACTACAGATGACGGTGTGTTCCTCAAATTGCCTTCTGTCGTTAGAGCAGAAGACCCGAGTGAACTTGCTAGGTTTTGATTTCTCTGCTGCAGTGAAAGTGCTTCTCCATAACTCTGGACTTACGGAAGGGGCAGGGGGCAAAATCTCACTACGACAGAAACCTTGATAACGTACAGAAGAGAGCTGTTTGTGTAGGGCCTGCTTGTCAGACTACAGGGATTTTTGCAAGTTTTAAAGCTGCTCTTTAAATGGGAAGGCTGGTAAGATGAGCTTAAAATGCATGTGTGGGGTAGTGCCTCCCAGCTGTGCAGTGAATTCAAATAGCAGCACTGCATGACCTGAGTACAGAAGTAGTTAAATATAATTCTGTATGTTATCTCGCACATGAGGAGAAAGCCCTGGAAATTTCTTAGCTGAACTGCTTCACCAAATAGCTGGAATACTTAAGCCTGCTACACATGCTCACATTCAGGGCTCACTCTCTGATCAAGAAGAATGCAGCTGCTTTTTAAGATCTCTTGAGACCTCTGTTGTAAAAGAGACTGTGGTGCTAGCTAGCCTTGCAGAGCTTGTAAACAGAAGCTCTGGAAATGGCAGTCTAAATTATTTTCTGCTTAAAAAAAAAAGTTTGAAAAGAATTTCACAAGTGGTAAGTGAAACTGGGTTGACAGCATGGAGTTTCTGCTTGCTGAATTGAGGTGCCACAGAGGAACAGGGAAGAACTAGTGCAGAGCGCTGCTTGCGCTAGATTTGTGGGTTTACGTTTTGCATCCTCTGCATCTGAGTACACAAGTGTTTATGTAAACCTGCTGTGTGGGGTTTTTTTTTTAAATGTAAAAACGTTTATACTGACGATGGTTCTAGATGTGCATTTATTTACTGAGTTGCTGGAGCAGACCAAAGTGCTACCGCTCTGAGGTAGTGCAGAAGGGTGAGCACTCTTGGGCTGTTACAGTGCAAAGTCCAGGAGCTTATCTTAAACTCTCATGGTAAGTGACATAAACGAATAATTGGATGTGGAATATATACGTGCTTGCTCATTCCTTTCTGCCAGTGAGGCTGGGTGAAGGAGAGAGGCTAACATTTTAGGCTGCTGCAGCTGTTGGAAAAATTAATTACCAAACTCTGAGGCAGTAAAACTTAAAATCTTACTACAGCTACAGAAGAGACTGATTTTTAGAGGAAACAATTCAGCTCTCTGCAGGCTTGGGTCAAGTAGACAAGCAATAACTTGTTGGAACCTGTAGTAAAAGACAACCTTAACGGCTGCTACCATCACCTTACCTTCTTAGGGCCAAGAGCTCTCGTTCTTGAGGCCGGTGTGAAGGTTCCCACTGTTGCTTCCTGACTCATCGTAGGGTTCAGTGGTGCCTACAGAAGCTATAGCCTGCCCTGTGGAGACCAGACATACACTCGTATGTGGGGTGTAAATTGACAGTGCAGCTCCTGCTGCCGTTGAGCTGTCTCTGCAGCAGTTCTGGTGTACGTGTTTGAGGACAGGAGCTGCTGCAGCTGGCCCAGGGGAAGCCACCTCTCTGA